GGATCTGCTGTTGCTATTTTGTTTTGTGTAGGCCACATGTTCCAAGGATGGCACTGTTAGAATTTATGAAGCCCCTGATATTATGAATTTAAGCCAGTGGCAGCTACAAGTAAGTGGCAACTTGGACTGTTTGCATCTTCTTTATTTGTTAGTTTTGTCATCAGTAGACAGTTTTAGCAACAAGAATGTTGGTTTCACTTTTAAAAACGGTATCAGCATAAAGGATGGAATTGTTTAGTTTTATTACACTAAATATTATTGATAGTATTTCTTTGGCTTCTTAATGAGAGGTCTCATTGTTGGAGTTCTTGGAGGTCTACTTTATATAATTTCTTTACATGGAAAAATCATATGTTGCACATTCAGTTTTTTATTATTCAGTAGAACCTCATTGCCTTGGTTTATTCAGTAGAACCGCATTGAAATGGTTTGAGTGAGTGGGGGTTTCAATTTGTGGGATTGGTGTTGAATTTCAACTATCCTGTAAATAACTGATAAGGAATCGTACTTTTACCATTGCATAATCAAGAGTCAATTTCACTCATTTTGTTTGTTTTATAAGAGCTTTTACAAGATGTAGTGTTTATTTCTATTGGATAGATACCTTAGTTATTACATAATCTGAATTCCATTGGTTACCACACCTTAACCCCAAACACATGATTATCCATATATTTATCTTAAGTTCATCAGTATTCTAATAAAGTAGTTGTGTAGAGCACTTGGTCTGAGCACATGTTACCCTATAGTAGTATACATCAAACCCTAATACACAACACAAGAGCAGTTAGTTTGGAAAGTTTAGGCTAGCTAAATGTATTGCATATTGAATGGTATCACATTGATATCAATTAAAATTGAAGGTTGGGAGGTGTCAATCAGCTGTGTTCTGACACTTAATTTAAGTGTTTATCAACCAACATTTTTACTTGAAGTTCAAGGTATCAAGATAAATCTGAGCCAAGGGAAATTGAATTAGTTCAAGTTAACAGGGAGCTATAGCTACCTGATGGTAAATGACTGAAAAAATGGGCTCAAATCCAAGGACAAATTTAAATCATGTCTTGTTTGAGTTAGTGGGTGTTCAAGTTAACCAGGTTTGAGTCAGCAGGGTTCTAAAGTATTTACTGCATTGACAATATGTATCCTAGTCAGTGAAATCACAAAGTGATACATGATTAAACTATATCATTCTTCTTGCAGAATGAGATCTCACACAAACTGAGTTGTAGCTGTGTGTCATGGAACTTATCAAGGTACAAGAAATGAATTGTTATGATCCGAGCCATGTTCATATAAGAAATGTTGGGTGCCTGAAGGTTCTTGCTTCCAAATTCTGGGGTGAAAGTTTGTTAAAATCAAGGAAAGATTTCAAAGATAGTCTGTTATGGCACCAGGGCTTTGCCATATTATTTCAAAAGGGAAAACTTTGTGGTTCAAATAGCATTGACCTGATCATAAAATTCCTAGTCTGGTCTTCACGCATATTTGTATGATTGGGAATCTAGCATCTTCTCCTTATATGTTACTCTGTGTTTTTTTTTTTTTTTTTTTTTTAATTAAAAAAATTATTCTAGCTGAAAGTCACTGTTATGGGACAAAGGATTTAAAAACTTAACACTGAAGCAAAATGTCTCTGTCAAGAAAATAATGTGTGTATTGGAAACTGATCAGCAGTGCAGCGTCCTTTATTCTTATATTGTGCTGCGTATAAGTGATTCTAATTCTAACTTGTTTAGAGTACATCCACCAATGTTAGCGGTAGGCAGTAATGATTCTAACACCAGTGCTGGAGGAAAAGTTCAAATACATGAATACAATGAAGCAAGCAGGTGTGTCTGTGATAATATCCCTTCTAGAGTCATTACCATTTTGCCAGCATCACAGAATAAGGATTCTGACATCAGCTTTCTTCTGGGAATATTTTCTACATGGAAACTACTTTTTGTGTTATTCAGTGTACAATTATTTATTTTTGAGTCTGTCAGTTACTAAATTCTGTCACTCAGTAATAGTCAGCCTGGGCAAAAATATGGTTTGGGCCCAACTCATAGTGATTCTAGCTCAAGCAGCTAGACAAGGATTAAAGTGACTTTGAGAAGGGCCCAAAACATGGTTATGCCCAAGAACATGAACTCTTTCACTATTAGTATGACGCTGGAGGGCACTGAAAAAATCAAAACCAAAAAAAAAAAGTGATAACAAAACAGTCTAAACAATTGTGCAAGCAGGCTAAGCTTGTATATCTATTTTAGCCCCCAAAATGCAACACAATGTCTGACCAGGTAATAATAACAATTACTATAAACCCTTTGGGCAAATGTTTTTACTTTCGAATGCATTAAATTTCTAGTGTGAAATTGAATGTTTTTCTGACTCCAAACCTACAGAAAGTGGCACAGAGTAGAAACACTTATGGCAATAACAGATGCTGTTCACGATGTGGCTTTTGCTCCAAATTTAGGAAGGTAAATCATCTTTCCTTTCTTTGATTGAAATACTCTGACAAGCTCCCTATCTAGTGCTTCAATTTTCTATTTTAGACCCACCCTTCTCAATAAACCAATCCTCCTTTGGTAGACAAAAATGTCAAAAGTGAAAACATAGGTCTGGAAGAAACAGTATGCTGTAGTGTTGCTGTGCAAATCTTTATCTGTCAAGAACAACCAGGAAAAAAATGTCAAATGCCCTTGAAAGCTGAGTGAAAGTTTGAAAAAAGCCATAATGATAATTATTCATAATCTGTTTCAGATTTCAGAAGCTCTCTTAAGGCCCATTTAAACGGTTTCAACATTTGACCAACATTCGTTCGACAAAAGTTGAACGGATGTTGGGCACCTGTTGGAAGCAAAAACAAAGTTGTGTGGGGGCCATTCAAATGGTTTTCAACATTGTGCCAACAAACGAACCAACATTTTCGGGAAATTTAATTGACTGTGAGGAACTAAGAACTAGAAACCAGACTCTCTCCAGACACCATATTGACTTTTGCACCCTGATATGAGCAGGTGTGTGTTCAATTGTTTCATGACAGAGTGTTCAAACAGCTTCAACACTATTCAACATTTTTGAGAACAAAAGAAAAGTTGAATCGATATATCAATGTTGAATGAAAGTTTAAAATAATTTAAACTTGATTCAACAAGCTTTCGACACTTTTTCGTTTTCAACAATGTTGGACGACCTGTCTAAAGGCAATGAACAAATTGTTGAATGCATGTTGAAGCAAATGTTGAAACCGTTTAAACGGGCCTTTATCTGAAAGGTTCCCCACCTTAAGCCTTCATATTTAATGATTTCTCTAACTTGAGAGCATTTTGGTAATGCACAGATTAGGAAATGGTGATATATGCGAAAAAATGCTATTTACAGCAGGAAATTTGCAACATCTTGAACAAGATTACATCAATGAAATATCTTGAATCAAAGATTTCAGACCATTGTTTTTTTGTTTTTGTTGGCAAATGCTCATTTTAGGTCTTATCATCTTTTGGCCATTGCTTCAAAGGATGTTCGTATTATGATGCACAAACCTTACAGGTGAGATCATAAGTGCAAAAATTGTAAACATTCTGAAGGGCTCATCTGTTCATGATACTCTCACTGGTAATTCAACTCTTGTCAATAGCAATTTTTGTTTTTCATTTTGCAAACCAACAGAGAGCAAGGAACTGGAGCAGGAGCAAGTTTGGCCAAACTTGATATCAGTCTGGCAGCACAGTTTAATGATCATGACTCCCAAGTAAGATTTCAAATACATAAATCAGTAATTAGAAGTTTATGATCAGTTAAAATATGCACTTTTTACCAAAAGCTCAATTAAACTGTTAAATTTCCTGTAGGTTTGGAGAGTTGAGTGGAATATAACTGGCACAATTCTGGCTTCCTCTGGAGATGATGGCTGTGTACGTTTATGGAAAGGTAAAGTGATAAAAAAAGGAGTTTGTTTTCCTAAATCATTTTTTGTTTAAATTAGAATTTGGATGTACTAGGATTTGAGTGAAACATTTTCAACACTGATTCTAAGCAATCGCTTATTACCAAGCCAAACTGAATACAGAAGGGAGCAGTTTGACCTGAAATTTGCAGGACTACTTGGACATTAACCTTTTTAGCAGTGCCACACATTATGAAGGCTAATCAGCCTTAAATCTTATCCAATCCTTTTTCCTATCAGCTAACTATCTTAACAACTGGAAGTGTATAACAGTTTTACGTGGAGATGGCATCTCAGGTTCCATGCCTGGCCCTAGTATGAGTGGTCCAATCATGAATGGGCAGGATCCAAAACCAGGTCTTGCTGCATTCAAGACACAGACTACATGGTACACATCATAACACAGTACTCTCTGCTTACCATGGACACCTTTTGTAAATGCTGATCAGAATACATTGTGATCAACACCATCAGCAATTAACGCAAGTAACAAAGAATTAACTGAGATATGAGCTAATCAGACATCTTGGGGGTAAACTTCAGTATTTACAATTACTAGTTACATGTGGAAGAAAAAACTAGTGAAAGAGCTTCTGAACATTTGATTTTTTTTTTCTCTCTCTAAGAATAAGAGAACAGTTCTAGCTCTAGATTTATGAAGGGTAGATATCACTGTCACTGTGGATAGGGCAGTAAGTCTTCCTAACACCTACTGGCTGGATACCAATTATCCCTTAATTAACGGTTGTCTGCCCTTTAAACAACTGGGCCCTGGTAAACTTATAACTTGAAGCAGATGCCTCTCAATATGGATAGATTTTAGGATATATATGAAGGAAAAATTTCATATAGAAGAGAAGGGTGTTGAACTTTGTCCTGTTGAATGAACCAAAATTTCCAGGAGGGAGCTTTTCCAGGGGAGGGGTGCAGGGAGGAGATTCGCAGCTTATTGATAAACTTCACGGCTATATAAAATCTGCTGTCGTTTATGTATTCTCAGTAGTTTTACATTATGGTATTCAGTGCCTAGTCAGTAGCCTTCTCTTTGTTGTTTGCTTCAAAAATTTGCTTTAATCACCTGTCAATTACTTGCCTACTAGCAGTGTACCCCCTTCTAAGAAAAATGCTGGATCCACTCCTGCGAATGGGTACAAAATCTTATCATTGCATATTCAGTGAATTAAAATTAATTCCTAATATATGTTTATGGAAGAGTCAGATCAACAGAAAAAATGTTAATCACAATCAGGTATGATTTCTTTTGGTATTGTGCTAATCTACAAGTATTTGTTCCATACACAAATTATTGTTAATTAATTCTACTCTTTAGGAAGCACTTAGTAGGCTTAAATATGTAGAAGTAGTTGACTTTGGTTGGTTAATCATTTCTTCTTGATAAGTGTATCAGTGCAGTGTGCCCATTCGCAGTACTGATTGTGATTAATTCTTGCTGAGGTCCTTTTGACCAATTTATCAAGGAAAACGGTTTCATTCGGAATTGTGAAAGCTGTACAGTAGTGTTTTAAGGATACCTAGTACCTAACGATTCTTTTATTTTCCTTTGAGGAACATACCTATCTTGGTAAATAAAATATTATATGTTTAAACACTTAGTTAGAGTGTTTATAGGCAGGCAAACTCCCTCAGTCTATAGAATTGATGCAGCTAAATTGAGTCACACCTCACATAAAAAAAACATTATGCCTTTTCAAGTCATTAGTAACAAACAGAAAATTTTCACCTCCACAAAAAAAACAATTATTTTTTCAGACAAAAAAAATAAATTCAAGAATAATATTACCACATTCTTGATGTCTAGAAGACACTGACATTTGTCCTTGGTAGGTTTACTGGTGAATTCGTGTTTCTCTTCAAATTATTCAAAAGTCACACACACAGCAAAAAACTAAATGAATCCATTCAACTGCTTAGAGCTAAATTCAATCCAGACTTAAAATACAATGTAAGTCCTGTCTCACAATCAAAATTACTGAGGACTTCACATAAGTTACAAATCACAAAAAAATAAAATTTGGAGTCAACTTAGTTTCATAGCAAAAGCATTTGATCCACTGAGGCTTGAATCAAACAAAAAACAAGACCCTTAAGTGTTTTTTTTCCCAATGTAACCAAGGAAAAACATTAATATTCTTTTTAAAACTAAATCTAAAAATCTCAAAGCAGACAAATCCAATGAAAAGGTTTAACTTCTACTAATCAAGAACGAATACTGATACTTTTCCAAGATAAAATATAAAAATTCTATGTTTCATATCTGGACATAGTCCGTGACAGACTAATTTAAAATAAAACTGTATTTTAGGGAGGCCATATATCCTTGTGAGTTGTGACCCNGATATTGTCTTTCTCTGTGACTACAATTTCTTGTTAAAATGTTGCAATGTACTTCTTCAGTGATGCTGTGATTGGGAGTGATTCCAGATCTTCCCCTTTTGTAACACATTTCTTGATGTTTTCACAACACAAATCAAGAAGTGGTGGCACTAGAACAAGAAAAGTATGTTAGATTACAACCATAGTGGTAAGCCACACCATTCTGTATTGAGCACTTGATTGTTTCCCCCTTAACTACTGTAATTTTCAACCTTATCCAGCAGTCATGGTCATCCTTAATTGCATCCCATCAGTCTCATGCTAATTGATCTGTGTAACCTGTTGCATGGACAACATTCTGTCACAAATAGTTTAAACTGAAATTTTCCCCATGACATGAGAGGCAATGCAAGCAGCTTGCCTTGACAGTTATCAAGAGTGTTTAGCTCTCTATAGTATCATCACTGTGTCAGGCATTGTGGCACATTCTGCACCTGAAAGTATTGGTGGGGTTAAATGTATTTTGGCTCGTCATATGCTTGCATAGTGGCATGACCAATCACACTGTTCGTTGCTATATGATAATAATAATAATAATACTTTAATTTTATGTTCTTGGGCATTAATTTGCTTTGTGCCCTTTTCAGAGTCATTCTAACTCTTGCCTTAGCAGCTGAAGCTAAAATCACTCTAAGTTGGGCCCAAAACATGTTACTGTCCATGAACATAAACTCTGCTGTTTTATTATATGTGTAAGTTCAAATGTTTTTGAAATAAAAGCTAGCGCTAAGAAGTCACGACGTTTCGACCTCTCTGAGGTCATTTTCAAGGGAGTAAGTTTTCCAAATCAGCATAAATATGTTGAAGCAAGTTGAAGACGATAAAATGTGGCCAACGCTAAAATATGTGAAAGTGTAAACAATATACAATGGAAGAGAATTAAAGAATAAAATAATTGTAGCACGAATTGTTCTAGACAAATAGTTTGGCACAAATTGAATGGCACTGTTTGTTTAGCGTTGGTTTCAGTTCTTTGATAAAAAAATTTCAAAAACAAGGCAGTCAAATTTGTTCTGACACTTCCTTAAGATTCGAAAATTCTGTGTGATGTCTTTTGGCTCCAAGAGGTGGTGTATGATTGCCGATCCTTTGTGTTCTTCAATTCATTGGTGTAAGTGTCGGCACGTGTAGCCGACACAGCCTGCATCACACAGGCCACACTGAAATGAATACACCACGCATTGTTGACTCACAAGAGGCTGTTTGTCTTTCCTGACCCTAATTTCATTCTTGATCTTTTTACTTGTATAAACTGGGCTAATATCTACGTTGATCTCCTGACTGAGGTCAGCCAACTGTTTCCGTACGATGTTTGCAGATTTCTGGTCCATGTAGGGCAACACGATTCTGAGTGGAGCTTCTCTNTTCCCAATGTAACCAAGGAAAAACATTAATATTCTTTTTAAAACTAAATCTAAAAATCTCAAAGCAGACAAATCCAATGAAAAGGTTTAACTTCTACTAATCAAGAACGAATACTGATACTTTTCCAAGATAAAATATAAAAATTCTATGTTTCATATCTAGACATAGTCCGTGACAGACTAATTTAAAATAAAACTGTATTTTAGGGAGGCCATATATCCTTGTGAGTTGTGACCCAAAAGAAAAAATGCTATCATAATTGTACTGAATTTAATTTTCATGCACTGCTTATGTCTTAATGCTTAAGCACACTGCAGATATTCTCTTTCTCTGTGACTACAATTTCTTGTTAAAATGTTGCATTGTACTTCTTCAGTGATGCCTGTGATTGGGAGTGATTCCAGATCTTCCCCTTTTGTAACACATTTCTTGATGTTTTCACAACACAAATCAAGAAGTGGTGGCACTAGAGTGAGAGAAGTATGTTAGATTACAACCATAGTGGTAAGCCACACCATTCTGTATTGAGCACTTGATTGTTTCCCCCTTAACCACTGTAATTTTCAACCTTATCCAGCAGTCATCGTCATCCTCAATTGCATCCCATCAGCCTCACGCTAATTGATCTGTGTGTAAACTGTTGCATGGACAACATTCTGTCACAAATAAATTAAAGTGGAATTTTCCCCATGACATGAGAAGCAATGCAAGCAACTTGCCTCGACAGTTATCAAGAGTGTTTAGCTCTCTATAGCATCATCATTGAGTCAGGCATTGTGGCACATTCTGCACATGGAAGTATTGGTGGGGTGAAATGTATTTTGGCTCGTCATATGCTTGCACAGTGGCATGACCAATCAGACTGTTCGTTGTTATATAATGATAATAATAATAATACATTAATTTCATGTTCCTGGGCATTGATTTGTTTTGTGCCCTTTTCAGAGTCATTTTAACTCTTGCCTTAGCAGCTGAAGCTAAAATCACTCTAAGTTGGGCCCAAAACATGTTAATGTCCATGAACATAAACTCTGCTGTTTTATTATATATGTAAGTTCAAATGTTTTTGAAATAAAAGCTAGCGCTAAGAAGTCACAACGTTTCAACCTCTCTGAGGTCATTTTCAAGTGAGTAAGTTTTCTAAATCAGCATAAATATGTTGAGGCAAGTGGAAGACGATAAAATGTGGCCAACGCTCAAATATGTGAAAAAGGGTAAACGATATTCAATGGAAGAGAATTAAAGAATAAAATAATTGTAGCACGAATTGTTCTAGGCAAATAGTTTGCCACGAATTGAATCGCACTGTTTGTTTAGCATTGGTTTCAGTTCTTTGGTAAAAAACATTTCAAAAACAAGGCAGTCAAATTTGTTCTAACACTTCCTTAAGATTCGAAAATTCTGTGAAAACTTACTCGCTTGAAAATGACCTCACAGAGGTCGAAACGTTGTGACTTCTTAGTGCTAGCTTTTATTTCAAAGTCGATTTCTAAGAAACTACTTATTAAGTTCAAATGTACAAGACATAAATGCCAGGATTGTGATCATGCAACCTTGAAACAACTGGAGCTAGGTGGAGAGAGCTGACAGAGACTTGCTTCATTAAGATGGCACAATTATTCTGAAAGGTTTATTTCTTTATCTTTATTTATTCCTTTATCTTTGTTGTCTATTAATAGCTGTACTTGACTCGCTAAACTTAGCCCACTGTGAATAATTAAGATCTACAAAACTTAATTTTTAAGCCGTTAGTGACTAAACTAGCTGTAAATCACTTACAATCATGTAAAACCACATTCAGAAAATAAATTTAAGAAATAAAAATCGTAATATATAATTTTCCAAGACATTACTGAGGATGCCCTTTGTTGCTTTGTGTATTTCTCAATTCNGATTTCTGGTCCATGTAGGGCAACACGATTCTGAGTGGAGCTTCTCTGTTATCAGTCAATCGACATTGAACAAGTCTCATCCCTCTATTGATTTCACAATGGAACTCCAAGAAAATGGTAGGCTTCCCTTTCTCGGAATGGATGTTATCAGGAATGGTTGCTGCCTAGACACCATGGTCTACAGAAAACCAAAGGACAGAGGGCATTTGCTATGCAATCACAGTCACGTTGACTCTAGATACAAACGGTCACTGCTGATCACCATGCTAAACCGTGCGTTCCAACTCTCGTCTACATGGAAGTTTTTTCATGGGGAATGTGAACACCTTATAGAGATCTTTTCCGACTGCGCTATCCTGACGACCTTGTGCAGTCAACCATTCGCAGATTTGTTGAATCAAGTGTCTGAGGATTCACATACCCAACTGACTGATAAAAGAGAAGTCCCAGTCAGAATCATGTTGCCCTACAAGGACCAAAAATCTGCAAATGTAGTACGAAAACAGTTGGCTGACCTCAGTCAAAAGATCAATGTAGATATTAGCCCAGTTTATACAAGTAAAACAATCAAGAATGAAATTAGGGTCAGGGAAGACAAACCACCTCTTGTGAGTCAACAATGCGTGGTGTATTCATTTCAGTGTGGCCTGTGTGATGCAGGCCATGTCGGCTACACGTGCTGACACTAATACACCAACGAATTGAAGAACACAAAGGATCGGCAATTGGACACCACCTCAGGCATCAGCACAACTTGGAGCCAAAAGACATCACACAGAATTTTCAAATCTTAAGGAAGTGTCAGAACAAATTTGACTGCCTTGTTTTTGAAATGTTTTTTATCAAAGAACTGAAACCAACGCTAAATAAACAGTGTGATTCAATTCACGCCAAACTATTTGTTTAGAACAATTATAGCTATGATTATTTTATTATTTTATTCTCTTCCATTGTATATTGTTTACACTTTTTCGCATATTTTAGCATTGGCACATTTTATCGTCTTCAACTTGCTTCAACATATTTATGCTGATTTGGAAAACTTACTCGCTTGAAAGTGACCTCAGAGAGGTCGAAACGTCGTGACTTCTTTGCGCTAACTTTTATTTCAAAGTCGATTTCTAAGAAACTACTTATTAAGTTCAAATGTACAAGACATAAATGCCAGGATTGTGATCATGCAACCTTGAAACAACTGGAGCTAGGTGGAGAGAGCTGACAGAGACTTGCTTCATTAAGATGGCACAATTATTCTGAAAGGTTTATTTCTTTATCTTTATTTATTCCTTTATCTTTGTTGTCTATTAATAGCTGTACTTGACTCGCTAAACTTAGCCCACTGTGAATAATTAAGATCTACAAAACTTAATTTTTAAGCCGTTAGTGACTAAACTAGCTGTAAATCACTTACAATCATGTAAAACCACATTCAGAAAATAAATTTAAGAAATAAAAATCGTAATATATAATTTTCCAAGACATTACTGAGGATGCCCTTTGTTGCTTTGTGTATTTCTCAATTCACGAAACCCCTAGGTATGACATACCCGTAGTTCCAAAGTGAAGGGGAGGATAAGGGCTATGGAGACAATGGGCAGGAAGAAGCAAACATTCGTAAATCATTCAGCAGTACCATTTAGTATTACATAATAAAAGACTGAAGTCGAAGGTGTAAGACCCAAGTGAGAAGGATAAAAGAACTGGGGAATTCTCATCCCTTCGCTGCCCCCTTCCCGCATTCACAAAGTATCCCTGGGGGCAATAGAGGTCACATTTTCCCCTACCCTTGCAAAGGTACTGTTTATACTATGCTAACCTCCACACCGAATGATTTGAACTCGTTTTGTAGTTCCGTACACGTCTACAGCCACATAAAGATCCCTGTCAACAGGTACATCTAAGGCGCAGGGACCAAATTTTATACCATTTACGAAGAAGTACAGCTCCCCTGTCGGACTGACTTTCACCCCAATTCGCGAGCCAACATCTGTGGGTTTTAATTTCCCTTCTCTCGCTTTTTTACCACAAAACACGGGGTTATCGTCTTTATCTCCTGCCTCTTGCCGTTGAAAATTGTGGCCACCGTAATCTTTCAGTTGTTCATCTCCAAGAGGCTTTTGCATCGTTGATTTGATTGCATAAACCCATGTACGCCCCATTTGGGCCATGTCAGGTAGAAGATACGGCGGAACACTTTTAATTGAAGATGGATTGTGAGTTGTGATCCCACAACGGACATGACCTGACCAGTCCTTTTCCTGTTCTTCTATCTCAAAAAGGAACGTTTCACCGAATGCTAAGGGGCGATGACTAAATACAACCGCGTTCGCGAAGCTTTTGACTCTGGTGGCGGATGTCCTCGACGGTGACAGCCGAACATGAGTTCCATGTCTGTCGTGAAATCGCATCATTTTTGCAAGAAAAAAAGGCTGAATAATTTTCAAAATGGGCTGAATAATATTGTGTCAAGCATGGTTAATTTGTAAAAGTAGGTGGTTAATGAAAAAAAGGCTGAATAATTTTTGAAATGGGCTAAATAATATTGTGACAAGTATGGTTAATTCATAAAAGTAAGTGGTTAATGAAAAAGAGGCTGAATAATTTTAAAAATATAATTTTGGCGGTAATGGCACCCCATAATATGGACTATAACAATGTTTTGCTCATCCTGCAGAGATTCGAACGAATCAGCGGCTTCTCGTATTCGAGCACTGTTTCCATGTAAGACTGGCCAGTCTAAGATGGCGCGCTGCTTGCTTGCACTGCGAAAGTTTACCTTTCGCCCGTCTTCTTTCCGCTTGTCAGCTCTAAGACCTACCCATACTGGAAGTATGAATTAAGGAAATCTAGAGGAAGAATTTCAGTCGGCAAGTGAAAGGACAAAGACTCTAAAACAAGATCCAGGGAATGACCACAAACTGAAGTTGTATGCCTTGTTCGAACAGGTAACTAGATTGAGGTATATTTTTTACGATAGACTTTTAATTCCTCTGAGACTTTTTAAAACGTTAAATACGTACATTTAAGTTGAAGAAGGTTTTAACCTCATCTCGCAGAAGTTTTTGTACCCTGTTACCTGTCTGGACAGTAGTGATAATAACCCTTTTGCTGTCGGGAATGACCAAAAAGGAACTTCTCCTTACATTATCAATACGTTTTTAAGTAGAGAGGTGAGGAGAAGAGAGACCTAAAATTATGAGAAAGAAGATATAGGGTTCCTGTGCTCCTTGAAAATCCTTGAATTTAATTTTTTGTTTTTAAGGACTTGAAAACCCTTGAGTTTAGACTCAGTTCCTTGAAAAGTTCTGAAGAGTCCTTGAAAATAATTGCAGATGAATCAAAGTCGAAGTTTTTTTTTGCTTTTGGTGTTGAAAGTGTCAGTTTCTAGCACAAATTGTGAAAACAAGTTTTCCTTTCAAATTCCGCATCCGATTGTGATGTTTCACACAAGATTTTTACACATTTTGTACCTGATTGGTGCATTGAAAATAACCTAGGTTATCTAGCATGTTATCACTCTGATGTACATGCATGAAGTCATGCAATGTTTTCTATTTCTATTAGCTCCTATTCAATGCAAAAAGTCCCTGAATTTGAGAGCCAAGGTCTTTGAAAACAACCTAAAAAGTCCTTGAAATTCCTTGAATTGGGTTCCTGAAAAAGTGCAAGAACCCTGAAGATGAGAGTGATCTCTGGGATAATAAACACTCTTTCAAACCGCTTATGGGAAATGTTTGGCAGAAGGTGTGGAGAATTAATGTTTTTTCTGGAGAGTGAAAGGACTAAGGGATATCGTAAGTGAAATAGCTAACAGGTCCAGGAAACAACTTTGAAGAAAAATATGGTACAATACCAACCGTCAAAATTTTAATATGCCAAGATTGGCTTATCACTCCAGCCCCCTTCTTATCTGTATAGTTTTAATTACATGTATTTAAGGTTTAAATTTGCAATCTTCCACCGAGTCTATTTTAGTTATTGTTTTTATAAACATAGTTTGTGTTTTCACATTTCATCCAAATTGTTATTTCTTATAGGGTAGTATTGGGAAATGTAACTCCCCCAAGCCAGGAGCATTTGACTTTGTTGGCAAGGCAAAGTGGACAGCATGGAATGATCTTGGTGATCTTTCAAAGGTTGATTTATACAGTGCATGCCTTTTGTTTTCTAAGATTTGTGAGACCATTCCTGAAAGGGATTGGTAGGAAACTGCTAGATGTTGTTGTAAGACCATCTTTCCAGACCTGTTTCTCCTTTTTCTGTGCATGCACTCCAAAATATTGTTTTACGTAATAATGCCATAAAAAGGTCACACAATAAGATGAAACCTTTGAAGTAGAGTATAAAAGAAATCAATAAATGAATTTATTACATGACTCAGGCAGTCAGAGGGCCAATAACTAAAATCAACCAATCAAAATGCTCTATTGCCGGTCAATATTCTCTCAGTATTGGACCGGGCACTGTCCCAAATGGTCCCAAATGATACCGCACTTGTG